ATGGCTTTTACCAGTGATGGAAGAATGTTTGACATCCGGCCAAGATTTTGTGTCTCAGCAAGATGGTGCAGCGTGCCATACCTTAAAAAAGGCTAAAAAATGGATGGAAGAAAATAATGTACCACTTTTGAAATGGGTTTCTAGCAGTCCAGATCTGTTACCTATTGAAACTTGTGGCACGAGATGAAGAAGGTTCTACGACAACATCCTGCTCGTACAATCACCGAAGTGAGACAAAAGCTTCTAGAAATGTGGGATTGTGTTACACCAAATTTTTACCAAAACTTGGTTAACACTATGCCCCAAAGAATTTCAACCGTAATAAAAAATAAAGGTGATGTTACCCAATGGTAATCTTTCAATTGTTGCTTTGTTATCTTCGCGCATTTATTCGCACATTGTTTATTTGTTCAGATGTTCTATTAGTTATAGGTCTAAGTGATTTCAAATATGTATTTTTTACGACTAGAGTGTATCTAAAATGTTTTTGAGAAAATAAATTGTTATAGAAGTAAATAGTTTCGTCATGTTTAGTTAATAAAAGGCATATTTTGGTACAAATCTTGAAGTGGGCCAACTGAAGTGGAAAGAGGCTCGTATAATACGGAGGAACCTTCTAGCAATATTCAATAATGTATAGGCTGTTTGTACTTAACGTACTGCAATAAAACGCCATATTACTTCTGTTTCCCATGACTGCGATTCTTGCAGAGTAAACTAGAGACATTTTGTTTTAAAGTGCTACCTTATTTGAACAGGTACGTTGTCGAAAAATGCAACATTATATACTTTTGATAAGTTTCTCTATACAGCAATCGTGATCTCTTAATAATTGTTTAGCAAGCATTTGAGGGGTTTCTGGGAAAAACGACATTTGTCAGAAAACAAAAAATGTGGCAAATTAACAAAAACTGATTTTGTTGCTTATACTGCTGTGAAACGCATTTTTGTAGTGTTAAGGCCATGTAAGGAGGCATCTTATATATTTTAAGGTGTATTTCAAGAAAAAAAAACGGATTTGTGAATAAAAAAAAACACAAAAACGTGGTGACAAATGTTGTTTTTTTGGAATTTTTTAGAAAGAGGCTTGATAATCAAGAATATTTTTTATATATATTTATTGAAACGAAACTTAAGTATTTCAGAAAAAAAACAACATATTCTTCAAAAGTATTCTAAAAGTATTTCAGGAAAAAAATATATTCTTCAAAAGTATTCTAACTGTATAACAATATTTCTATTCTATGTCACTATTTCCACTGCTGTTGTCATCATTGTCTATTTCTGCATTATTGTCTTCAGTATCTTGTTTATGAGTATTTAACAACCTTTTATAAAACATTGTATGTTCAGGTTTTGTAATATACTTTGATAAACCTACATTGACTAATGTCGTTCTTATGGAACCGACGATTCTTTAAACGCATTTCAGACGGAGATATGTGCTTTTGACGGGAAACTTAAACATCAGAAAGCAGCATTGAAACATGTAGAACACAACAGCGTTGCCAACTCAATTTCAACAAAAAGTGACTAATGTTGTTTTTCCACAACTTTTAGGCCACCCAATATTACATTCCCATTAATTTTTAGGAAAATGTCAACATAAAATGAGAGATGGGATACATCTAAATAGTTTAAAACAAATTTTGTCTGTGCACGTAAAATTTGACTACCGCGGCGGATTGTGTCCAAATAATAATAATAAGTGGGATACCTCTAAATAGTTTAACACAAATTTTGTCTGTGCACGTAAAATTTGACTACCGCGGCGGATTGTGTCCAAATAATAATAACAAGTGGGATACATCTAAATAGTTTAACACAAATTTTGTCTGTGCACGTAAAATTTGACTACCGCGGCGGATTGTGTCCAAATTTATTTATTTATTTATTTATTTATTTATTTAGCAACATCCAACAGCCATAGCCAATTACAGGATGGATAAACATGAAAATATAAACAAATGCATGTTGTGGATGTATGTAGAGAAAGCTAAAACGCTGCAAAAAAAAAAAAACCTCCAAACAGAACTGGGAAAAAAGCGTTCTAGCTTTACCTACCCAGCACTCAACAATCACACCGGCAAGCATTAACGAAAATAAGCATTAATGTCTCCCAAAGTCGCACAACGCGGAAATATATCTAAAACGCTATTAACTGAATTATAATTACGGCACATTATATATATAGGGGAAAACTTAAGTATGTCAGTCCTAGGCCTGGCCAAGTAAAAAGTTAAACTAGTTCGTGACGCTAATCTAGGAATTAAGAAGTTAAGTTGTTCTAAGATGACACTGGAGTCAATAATGCCGTGGATGAGCTTGTGAATGAACTTAACTGAATTCATTTTGCGTCTGCTCTCTAAATTATAGATTTTGTGCCTCGCCATCAACTCACTATGAGGAAAGCCAATAGCGGGATATATCCCGTCAGCTTTGTATGAGAGGTATTTTAAAAACTTTCTTTGAACGGACTCTAAGCGGTCAATATATATTTGATGATGAGGATACCATACCAGGGACGCATACTCAAGCTTAGATCTTACATAAGCATAGTACAGTATTTTCAGTGTAAAGGAGTTGTGGAAATCGCCTGTATTTCTTACAATAAAACCATACGCCTTTGATGCAGCCACAACAGCATTTTCAATGTGATAGGAGAAGGAAAGTTTTCTGTCAAATGTGACTCCCAAGTCATTAATTGTACTAGGTCTGTCAAGTTTCCTGTCACCAATAATATATTCATACATCATTACCCCTGTTTTTAAAGTAAACGACAAAACGTGACACTTAGCAGCATTCAAAACAAGTCTGTTTTCACGACACCAGTTGTCAACCCTTACAATGTTGCATTGCAAGCGATGACAATCGTCAATGTTAGAGACTCTACAGAAAAGTTTCATATCGTCAGCATATATAAGAAAATCAACATCGATAACTTCAGAAATATCATTTATGAACATAATAAATAACAGAGGTCCCAAATTAGATCCTTGAGGAACACCGGACATTACAGGGTATTCGCTTGACTTATGTCCATTGCACATAACATATTGTTTCCTATGACATAAATAAGATCTGAAAAATAGCAACAATGCATCTGAAAGACCAAATCTAGATAACTTATTAAGTAGAATGCTGTGGTCTAAACTATCAAACGCTTTAGAGAAATCAGTATATATTACATCCGTTTGAAGTTGTCTATCGATTGATTCACAAACATATTGAGTAAGATGCAGCAAGTTAGTAACTGTGGACCTGCCTTTCATGAAACCGTGTTGACTGACGGAGATAGACCTGCTTACATGAAAATATAGCACAGTTTGTATCACTATTTCGAATGTTTTAGCGAAATTACTGATAATTGTGATAGCCCGATAGTTTTCTACATAATTCCTCTCACCTTTTTTAAACACAGGAGTTACCCTAGACAACTTCCAAATTGATGGAAAGTGATTATTTTTCAGAGAGAGATTGAAAATGATCATGAGTGGATATGCTAAAATGGACGCACAATCTCTCACAAAAAATGCAGGTATTTGATCAGGCCCTGCAGTCATTTTTGGCTTAATTTTCTTGAGCGCCTGTAGCACATCAATTTCCTGTACACTAGGCATAGCTAGTGTCGTAGTGAAATGGTAGTCAGTAGAAAAATTAGAAAAATTAGATTGAGCTGTTGGAGTATTATAGCTCCCACTAAAGTGTCCCGCAAATGCGCCTACAACATCATTAGGTGTATTCAATCCCAGCCCATTGTACAGCATATCCTTCGGAATACCAGTGCAGGTTCTTTTTCTATTAACAAAAGACCAGAATTTGCCGGAGCTTTTGGATATTTCACACTCTAAAGAGTGAATGTAGCGACGATATGAAACAGCTACATGTTGCTTTATCTCTGAGCGAAGTCTTATAAATTTTTCTATATAATAAGTATCACCAGTGCGTCTGAAAGTCTTGAATGCCACCATTTTTTGTTTGAGGGTTCTAATGATATGGCTGTTGTACCAAGGAGGATACCTATTATTATAAGATATTCTAACTTTAGGAACACAACAATCAAGAATTCTATAGATCTCAAAATAGAAATATTCACAAGCTAAATCAACGTCACTAAAATTTTCCAAATCGCCCCAGCTAATATTCACAATCATTTCATAGAGCAGCTGAAAGTCAGCTTTCCTAAAATTATATGAACCTTTAAAGTCGCTATGCAACACGTTATTATGTTTGGTGGAAGGAAAATGACTCACAGTGACAATCAATGCAGGATGATGGGGATCCTCACACACTAACGCATCATCAGCATGTTCAACATAGCAAATGGGATTGCTCCAAATTAAATCTAGCAAATTTCCACTGTCATTGTGTATGTAATTATACTGAATGACATTGAAAAATCTTGCTAAAACATTTAAAGTGTTTATGTAACTATTTGAGATACTATTTTCAAGATAATCAGCATATGATGTTATATTAAAGTCCCCAACAATGAAAATACTGCCAGTATGTAAGAACGCTAGACTATGTATCGCTTCCAACAAGATTTCATAGTCGGTAACGCTTACCTGAGGAGGTATGTACAGATTAATCACATATATTTTGGAGTAATGGACACTGACTTTAATTACTAAAATATCTATCTTTGGACTGACCTGGTTGAAAGGTGGGTACACAGATATATCAATGGCAGATGACTTATATTCACTCCTAACAGCAACAGCCACTCCTACACCTTTCCTCAAATTCACTGCTGAAAACTTACGATCAGATCTGTAAACTGAATAATTATCCGGAAAAACCTCACAATCATTGATATCAGTATCAAGCCACGTTTCTGTCAGTGTTATCAAAGAGTAATAGTCTTGTTGAGAAATAGAGTTGAATATTTCATTAGTTTTAGAACGCAAACCACAAGTGTTTTGATAATAAATAATAAAGTCTTTATCTCTATCAGCATCATGATCATGACTGTCTAGGCCTGAAGCAGTAGCTAGTTGCTATTTGACAGCGAGTAAGTCTCTTCTCAGTTTTTCTGTAGCATTCGTGAAGGCAGTGCACTGATTTTTGTCCCAAGCTGCATGATTTATTGGAACATTCAGATTCGACTTAGAATTTAATTTGACACAATTAGAACACTGCTTAGTTATTGATGTACACTGTTTAATCTCATGTTTTCCACTGCAGATTGGACAAGAAGCCTCATTCTGACAAGAAGCTGAGCCGTGATGGAACTCATTGCATTTAAAGCAACGAAATACCTCCACGGCATCAAAAACCTTACAGCAGTCATAACCGACTAATAAGTACCCTGCCGTCATGACCCTAACATAGGAAACTCTATCTATTTGTAAGACAGATTGGAAGATTCTATTATTTTTTTTAACAGCATATGTTTTCAAAACTTTACACTCAACATCACCACAAAACACGTCAGGATTACCCTTCAGAAGGTAGCTACGTATCTGCTCATCGGAGTATTCGCCAGACAATCCAACTATTCGTACCCTAGGATTAATGCCAGCAACTTCTTTGATGACGTATGAATCACCTAACTTCTCTTTTGCAATGGAAAGCAGTTTTAAGTTATCCGCTTTGCTCTTACAACCAAGCACTATCCCACCTTCCTTGATATCACAAACTTTACCCAGATGGATATTGTCTTCAACAGGATCAACTGACTTTAGAATGTCCGTCTTGGTTTGAGTTACTGACTGATTAGTATTTTTCGGACGAATAACAATGGCTGGTTGAGTTCTGTTGCGCAGTACATCAGAATAACGAGGAGGATCAGCTGGAGGGTTAGTCTCCTTGACAGCATGGTTCAGCAGCTCATCCTTTATGGCAAGAATTTCATTTTTGATTTGCCCAAGTGAAGCATCAATTTTTTTCGACAGCACTGTATTGACGCTCTTTTCGTTAATAAACAGGCAGTTGCCTCTACATTCATCACATTTCCATGATAGACCTGGGACATTTTTTAAGACACTCAGTATATCAATGGAATTGGAAATACAGCTGGCATGAGCATTTTTTTTACATGCCTCGCAAAAAACAGCAGGTTTTGTACGAGACACAGTAGTGTTACAATAAATGCAATTCACCATCTCAAACGTGCAGCATTACTGAAGCTACGTATTACGAAATTACTTTAAACAAACACGGATTTTACCTGCAGCACTGCAGAAAGGGCAGGTATAATCAGCACCTCAAATATACCTCTAGTTTTTCTACAGGAACGTGAAGCGAGCAGAGACAAAATAAACACGTTCACTTATGTTCACGTTCACTGACAGACGCTGATGCACGGGGAAATCTATGATCTAAGATAGATGTTCTTATAGATGCGTATAATTAACGGGGCTGGAAGCGTATGATTATATCACCGACCAAAAAATTAGAAATACTCACCCCCACCAACTGCAACCCCAACCCCCAATATTTCGGCGCTACAAAAAATTTTTGTTTTTTGCCCTTAGCTCTGCCGCAACTGGACCGATTTTCAAAATCCACAAAACTCCTTGGCACAGTAGTAACCTTATGTAATGTAAAAAATGTTATGCAAATCCGAGAAGTCCTTTCTAAGTTATGGACTGGTCAACGATTTGCGAACAGGACGACAGACAAACAAACCGACAGACAGGCCAACGGAAATAAGCGACATGGTTTTTCGTGATGTACATGTCATATAACATAATATCTTATTTTAGAAATTGTTCAGGATTACAATACTTCCTCGCCAGTAGGCGGGAAAAATAATAGGTGATCTGAAGCAATATTTTCAATGTTACAATATATTCTCGATTATAAAACAATATTTATTTATTTATTTATCTATTTATTTCCAACAGGTGAAACCCAATTACAGGAAATGCTGAAAAAAATAACAATTAAAGAGATATGGTTCTTGGACTTAAATCTATAGTATCACACATTCTAAATAAGATTGGATGATCTATAGCAGTTAATAATCGATGCACAACTGTCACTGTAAATATCACACGATTCAGTAACACTGTTCATTGCGCAGCACATGAGATTAATTGGCGATTTTGTCATAACATTTGTACGGCCAGCTTGACAATAGAATGCCGTTTGTTGTCGACTCCCTAGCCTTGGAACGCGGAAACATATTTTTTCAAGTAAATTTTGACAGTCAATTTTATTGTGAATGAGGCCATACAAAAACGACAAAGCAAATATGTTTCGTCTTGTTGACAGTGAATCCAAATTGAAAAACTCTAATAGGGCACTATGGTCACAACCTCTTTCTGGATAAGAACATGTGCATTTAAGGTGAAAATACTTTAAAGCTTTACGTTGAATGGTCTCAAGGATCACGACAGAATTTTGGTACCCCGGACGTGGCCCGATAGTAACTCAACCTATGACGACCATATTCGACAAATATGAATTCATGAGCGACAGCATTGCATGAGACATACCCACTGTTTTAAGCTTATCCAGAAGTGCATAATGACCAACTTGATCAAACGCCTTCTGAATATCTGTGTAGATGACATCAACTTGTCCCTGACCGTCCAGTACTTCAGAAATGTACTGAGTAATTAGAGCCAAGTGGGTGACCGTAGGTCTGCCTCTCATAAACCCATGCTGATTAATAGAGACTGCATCCCTGACCGAGCAGTGAACCGTTTCACAAGCGATGATCTCAAACAACTTACTGAAATTGCACAGGATTGCTATTTGGCGATAGTTGGAAATATCAGAGATATCTCCACTTTTGTGAATATGACATATATTAGAGATCTTCCAGATATTTGGATATGTCTCTGATTTTAGAATTAGGTTGAATATGGAAGCCAGCGGTTTCGCTAGTATATGAATGCAATCTTTAACGAAAAAACTTGGAATACCATCACATCCAGACGTCATTTTGTTCTTTAATCTTTTCGAAGCCCTAATTACGTTTTCTTCACTTATATTTTTCAAAGAAATGATATCGGTAGAATTATTTGTTGTAAGAGATGACCCTAGTAGACCAGACGGGATAAAAACTGTTGAAAAAAAGGTAGCAAAACTGTCCACTATATCCTGAGGCGTATCGCAGACATTGCCGTTAAGCGTCATCCTTGGGGGATTCTAGATTGCTGTTTTTTGATCTGGGCAAATGACCAGAATTTGCTAGGATCATTGACAATGGCATCCTCAACCGATTGGACGTAACCGGAGTAGGCAACACTGATCTGGTTCTTAATGAGCTTCCTAAAATTACTGAACTGATCATAAGGAAACTTAGTACCGTCACGTTTCCAGTTCCTTCTTGCTATGTCCTTCTTCTTGATATTAAGTATAATTTCACGTGTATTTAAATCCTTATTTCAATTTATGGATATGTGACCGGTTATTATATTGAAGGCAAAGCGCCATCGATCACCACCCATTGACCGTACCATGTCCTTATCGTCGCCACCGTACGACCACGCACTGGAATAATCTACAAGCAAAAACATATCGGAATAAATAAGAAAATGAGTGCAACGTAATGGTGTCTCGACAACCTGAATATTAATAGAACGAACAGCACAACAAATAAATAAACACATTTACATGGAAAATGGAACCGATTCAAAAATCGGTACGTATCTCTGTGCTTGTAGTTGTTATCGAAAAGTCGAAAAGGTGGCGACCGGCGAGCTCCGTTTGATTTGAGCTCGGGGCTTCGGAAAGAATCCTTTGGATCTGACAGCGGGAGAGCGCTGATTCCGTCAGTGTGCTTGTGCTCGTGGAGTGTTTGTTTGTGGATTGGTGATTTTTCTTAGTAGAACCAAGGAAAATGGCTCGAGGTGAGTAATACTACCAGGTTATCTAGCACTGCAGAAAAGAGTTTATAGGCTGATTTACTCTCTTGAGATTAAATGAAAATCCGGAGATACAAAAAAATGTGTTGGGCAACTATTTTTATTAAACTTCAAAATTGAAAACAATACATACTCACAAATATCGAGGAAACTATAAAGTATTGGTAAAAGTGATTCAGAGAGTAGAAAGAACGAAAAAATTTCCAAAATGAGACCTTATACATATGTTCAGTTTATTGGTGCGGTTCATTCTTTATTGCAAAAACTGCGAATTGCCACATTTTTTAACCGAAACTGCAAAGTAGAAAATATGAAATAGTAGCGGAACTCAAAATTTTCTGTAGTGATTAACATCCAAAAAGATTTTCATTGTACATGCACAACAATTTCTTCAAATTTATAATTGTCATTAACCGTTTTGAGGTTAAACAATGTTCTTTAAAGCGACAGCAGCCGAGCTGAGAATCGCTGATAAACGGCAACAAACCAACAGACATATAGACGATAACTCTTTATCTAAAACACATAGTTGAACATAAGAGTTCACATGATCAGAATACTTTCTCCGGTAAATCGCGAGAGTGAAACGGAATCGAGTACGTTTACTCGATACTTTTAATGCAAATCACAATGTACATGTAGAAATTTTGGGCTGGTTGAATATTTCAAATATTTGACAAAGTGGTAGCTTTAGAGGATTTAGCTATTGATTTCAAAATTTTAAAATATCTTGAACAGCTCCCTAAAACGGATGAGCTGCTGTTGATACAGATTGCGCGTTGTACCATACCTACAGTTACATATGTATAGTAATGTTCAGCCATCATTATTTTTTTTTCAGTTTTGTCGATTTGTAAAATTCCTCCATATTTTGCTAGAGAGGGGCAAATATTCCTCCAGCAATTACTGTATCTCTCCGAGATATATCTGTGAATGCTGCCTATTAGTGAGATTTGAAACACCATGGGCCATAATATTTTACAGCCTTATCAATATGTTCATCTGAGGTTAAGTTTACACCGGCACGCGAATTAGGTAGCTTGAAAAGTGGCATTATATTGATTTTTTTGGCATTACGTAAGATTTTTATGATATTATGGAGGATTTCCTATAAAATTTCAACTTAGAACCAGCTGTCGTTCGCTTCATATTCACTCGTAGTAGCTGTGCCTGATACCTACAGATCATGACCCTTGAGCCACAGCATGTGGAAGAATCAACTTACTTCTTACGAAATTTGACCTTGAAGGCGCCATAATGGATTACAGGGTAGGGAAAAATTGAGGATAACTAGTAATCTGATTACAGTTCCGTAATATAAATGTTTAAGTACCTCCAGAAATGTATCTTATAGTTGTCAATAAATGCTTGTACTAATAATACGATCTTATTCATCGGTTGAAACACGGTTATAACGTTTTTTATTGAAGATTTTTATCCTCATAAGGAAATATACTTGTTAGCTACAAAAAAGAACATAGTGAGACCAAATTTTAATTTTCCCAAACATAAGCGCTTCAATGGCCCACCGTTGACATCTTTCAATAACTGTTCGCGTATTTGGAAACTAGCAACCAGTGACCAACTGATTGCGTTGCCGTCTTTTTATGTGAATATTTGTAGAATGGGATGGAGTCCCAATCACACCATTCGAGACTAAGTTCCACAAGAATAGCAAGTGGTTCAATCGTCTTTCGAATCGTCCTTCAACCGTTAGACTCGGTTGAGGAGACGTTCAACATCCAGGCGCTCACAACATCGTAAATGTCTCGACCTGGATATTAATAGAATCGCCACAATACATCTATAAAAACATCAGAATTGAGTACAAAAAACCGTGTTATCGTTGACTAAATCTAATTTTGAATTCATTACTTCGACTTTAGACTTTAGACAATCTTAGAACAAAACAAACGTGCATAAGGAGTATTTAAAAATTAGTCTTGACTTGACAAATGCTCGTACTACCATATTATAATCCAAAGCGATGTTTGATTCATTGCATTGTTGTCAAACCTGTAACTAAATCATGTGCAGTTCATGGGCTACAACTGCACTTCCACCATATATTTAAAAATACTTTCGCGCCCGTTTCAGGCAGTGTGCTGAGATGGTCATGTTTGCTATCCGTCTCTATAACCATCAACAACCACAGATATCGCTGTCTTGTGCTCATTAGAAATTCGTCAGTGTGGTATAAGTCTAAGGTCTAGTTTTGTATTCAGACGAACGGGAAGCTAACAAGTTGTGTATTTACGGTCTTTTAAGAAACTCAAAACGTTGTGCGCAAGTTGGTGGAAAATCTGACGATTGCCACCTACCAATGGTTCGCTAAACTAATTTTCATCTTCATCCCATGCAATGAAAACGACAGGGAGACCCTTACAGATACACTTTGTTTGATTCTCCAGCAGCTAACACAAAGTCTTCTGTAAAGTGAAAAATGTCAGAAAAAGATGCCACTGTACACTATTTTATTTTTTCTTCATATCACTGACAAGTCTCATATTAACGAAAATGATCTACAAGACAATAAAGTATCTATATCTTTCTATTGTTGATTGGCGAGTATTTGAGATTGTGCAAGCACGATATGTGACATAAGTGGACGCGTATTGACGTAAATGCTCATTGCGGGTAGGCTATGTTCTTAGTATTCTTATTTTTACCCCTTTGCCCGGTCATGGATGATAATGACCAAAAACTGCGAGGCAATATTGGTATAAGAAGGAACGAGTGAAATATAAAAAACATTTCAAGTAACGAAAAAAAAATTATGATGAACAACCAGTATGATATAAATATTAAAAGCTGATTCCTTGAGTTAGCATCGAAACCTTTGCTTTTTTAATATCATAATTGTTTGCTATATTAGTCAAAATTGATAATTTTTTTGTTTTCATTGTATTCAGCTTCTACAACCGCATTAATGTTGTCTGTAAAACGTCGACACGTTCCATCAAAACACTGATTTGAATAATAAAATGGACTCAACTGCCAGAACATCTGTAAGCAATACAAATAAACAGCCAAACATTGTAAGAAACAAGCTATACACTCGACTATGTCATCATTAGTCACTGTTTGACTGCCACCAACTTGGCTGGGCATTAGCATCATTGCCCGTTTAATAGCGTTATTGCCCGATCTCTCGTAAAAAATAGTGTCTCGTAATGGAGACCTGATGAAACAGAAAAAATAAGAAACCTATGAATATTTCATATCCATGGCCATATCCAAATTGGAAATCGTACACCGACTTATATAACATCAATAATTTCAATTAGTATTGAAAAAGCATAGAAATTAAATGTCAATGACTGAAATACAATATTTGATATATCGGTTTTGCTTTCTAATACTTCTTTGATTAAATCACTCGTAGACTACAAAAGTACCTTGACCTCAAAAAATGTTGGATAGAAGTTGATAAAAACAACATAGTAGTATTCAATTAATCAACTGTTAACATTCTTCAATACAGCACAAATTTAGCAAAAAGTTATATCAATGAATAAAAAACGATTCCTAAGGCGCCTAGTATCGTTGCATTGCGGCTATAAGCTTTACAAAGTAGTGTAAATACTGCATTATTGTATTAATCTGTCATAAGTTTGGTTAAATATCGGTTAGTATAATCTTACAGTCATTGTTTTCAGGATAGTTATAGTACAAATATCAACCTTCGAAATATGCTGTCGATAAAACAATTTATTCATCATCGCTAATTGGGAGGGAAGTATTTCAAACGCGAGGAATTTCTAAAATCATATGTTTTTGGAAAACCATGTCATACATTTTCGTCTGTCTATCGGTCTGTCTCTCCGTTAATCTCATCCCATCTATAACTCGGAAAGTGGGGCTATCACTAGGATTTTGATGATGTTTTTGCATATGGTTACTATTATGCTAAGGGCAAAAGAGCTTTGTAAATCGATTTATTTACGGTGGTGGAGCTACAAACAAAACACAAAAATCGCTAAAATTTCGTATTTTGACCTTTCAGAGACTCCCGATCATTTTCACATTTTTTTTTATTCTGAAGAGCTTTAGGGATGTAGGGATGCGGGTCTGTGAGGGCTTCATCTTTTTTCATGTGCTTTGTTAAGTTTTTTGTCCTATTTTCGTCTCAGAAACTGTTACTACAACAGCTTACTTCACGTTATATAAATACAAATAGAAAAATAGTGGAAGGTACAAAGTTGAACTATTTGACGCCATTTTTATAGTAAATAATGTCGTGGGTAATCTAACAAAAAATGCCTGATTAGAAAATGCATTGTTCAGTGCTGGTGCATAAATATATTATATTCCTATGCGAGTAAAGGTTACTTATGTATTTATTATACACGTGTGTTATCTAACTAATTATAAATGATCATTAAATAAAACTTGGAATGGTTATGATTTCTATCGTTTTACAAATATTGAAGAAAAAATTCTAACAAAATCGCTGCTGCACCGACATTATACAAATATCAATCTGCTTTTCAATAGCTTTTTAGCTAAGTTCGAAGTCTGAATGGTAAATCAACTCTACCAGCTCATTGTAGGACAAGGTATTTAGTTGGGCATTCAGAAAGATTCCAATAAAAGTCTTGCAGGAAGACAAAAGCCCCTGAAGAACGCCACTGGAAATAACTTTTGAACGACCCTGTGTGAAATTTCACAGCATAATATTGTCTCTCATAATCATAAATATTCAGTATCCTCAGGTGTCAGGGACGGACTACCTCTACGAGATAGTGTTAAAAATGTTATACCCCTGTACGATGGCTCAATGATGAGAATAGCCTAATAGCTGAATAAAATATTCTTGTGTTTGAAATCGAAAAAATGGTACATTTTCTGAGAAGGGTACGAGGGATGTCTTTTAAGTTTTACATATGGAAATAAAACAACACGGTAGGCAGTTTTAACTGACTTTATTGTTTTTCGAAGTATTCTCCACGAAGATTAATACACATCTGCATGCGCTCGAACTA